CCTCCTCCTCCTCCTCCTCCTCCTCACAGGCGTTTCAACAACTCGTCGGGTCGAACTTTTTAGCGTCGGCGTTGAAGCGAAACAGGTGCTCTCCGGTTTCTTCCTCCAACCAAAGACTTCCTCTGCTCCATCTTCCTTTCCTAACTTTGTACTTTTATTTTATTTTATTTTATTTGAGTTGAGATTTGCACGGTTTGCTCTGCGGCTCGTGAAAACAGGAGAATTGTGCTTTTTGTTTTGGAGCGGACACGAGTCTCGTCACGTTTTCGGCACCTTCCAGCTTCGTTTGGGTTTTTGTGGCTGCAGCTTCTTTTTAAAAGAGTTCATCCAGATTTTATGTTTTAAAGCAGGCAGGTTTTATGTTCTTGTTGAGGTCAGGAGTTTGTAAGTGGAGCCACACTAACGGGTCAAACAGAACCGAGGTGATAGTTCRGACTGCAGATGTGGACCCGGTACAGATCTGCACTCGGAGCTAAATTCAGTTTGATGTTTTACCTGCGAGTCGAARCATCTTGATTCAAACTTGATTTGATCAGAATCACTGCTGGTTCAGTTTTTTTGTCCGACTGCAGGAAAATAAGGAAAATAAATTCATTAAATCAATTTTTTGTCGACGGAAATAGGAAAGGAAGCGTCCGTGTTTGGGTTCTGTTACAGCTTCCTGTTACTGGAGCGTGGGCTCGGCTCGGTTCTGAAGCTGCAGCAAAGATCGCAGGTTTTTCTTCTTCTTCTCTTCGTGGGGCTGAACGAGATCCAAGATGCTGTCGTTAAACATGAATGTAAATGAACTTTTATGCATTTTTTTTTTCTTTTTAATAATTCTTTGTTTTAAACCACATTAGTTTGAAGATGTTGCTGTAAATGAAGCCTGGACCAGAAGCGTTTTATTTTATTTGTGTGTTTTTGTTGTTGTTTTTTTTTCGGATGCGTACGGTGCGATGAACTCCGGAGGCCTGTTTCTGCCCGGCGACACCAGCAGATTAAAAACTATTAACGACAATCTGGCACAAATAGATAAAAAGCTCATTTTTAACTTCCTCGCCCCACAGGAACGGTCCTCCGCACGAGTCCGGTGTGATTGTAAAATATTTGTTCAGGTAGAGGATGAGCAGCGCCGTGTTTTATCGCAGCATGCAGTGGAGCTTCTTATTTAATTATCTGTTCGGGTTTTTTTTTTTTTTTTTGTATTTTAAACTTTTGCTTTGGAACCAAACGGCCGAGGTTTAAAGCACACAGAGACACGTTTGGGATGTTTGTGTGAGCGTGCACGCTGCGCCTGCTGTGTGAGCGTGCACGCTGCGCCCGCTGTGTGAGCGTGCACGCTGCGCCCGCTGTGTGAGCGTGCACGCTGCGCCTGCTGTGTGAGCGTGCACGCTGCGCCTGCTGTGTGAGCGTGCACGCTGCGCCCGCTGTGTGAGCGTGCACGCTGCGCCTGCTGTGTGAGCGTGCACGCTGCGCCTGCTGTGTGAGTGCTGGGTTTGTTATTTAAAGCGCCGCTCGCTCTGACGTGAGGCTGATGTTTTATTTTAACGCTGTTTGACAATGAATTACTCTGCACTTAACCCTGTTTCTGTCTTTCTTTGGCTTGGAGAGGAAACTCCAGCTGCCTAAAGGTTACAACGACCAGACTGTGGAGTCAGTGTCTTACCTGCAGCAGACAGACGAGTCACCAGGAGCTGATCTGTTTTTTACAGCAGCGGTTCAAACAGATTCAGCTCAGGGCTCAAAAACCAGCAGGTTGTGACAAATTAAAGATTTAACACGACTCCCTTTGAACAAAAAGAGACTTCCAGCAGAACCAGAACCAGATCCAGGCTCAGGTTGAGCAGCCAGCTGTCCCCACTCACTGGGGTCAGAGAGGACAGGAACGAGACAAAAACTATGCAGAATGACTGGTCCAGGAGGGGCTCCCATGGTCCAGGACTAGTGTTTGTGGTTCCAGACTAGTTTGTCATGATCCAGGACTGATTTCTAATGGTACAGGACTAGTTTTTTGGTCCCAAACTAGTTTATAATGATCTAGGGCTAGTTTATTATGGTCCTGGTCTAGTTTCTCATGATCCAGRACTAGTTTCTCATGATCCAGGACTAGTTTCACATGGTCCAGGACTAGTTTCTCATGATCCAGGGCTAGTTTTCCATGGTCCATGAGTGATTTATCTAATCCAGGACTAGTTTCTCATGGTCCAGGACTAGTTTTTGTGGTCCCAGACTAATTTCTTATTATCCAGGACTAATTTCTTATTATCCAGGACTAGTTTCCATGATCCAGGACTAGTTCATTATGATCCAGGACTAGTTTTTCATGGTCCAGGACTAGTTTCTCATGATCCAGGACTAGTTTATGTGGTCCCAGACTAGTTTCACATGATTCAGTACTAGATTTTGTGGTGTCAAACTAGTTTTTCATGGTCCAGGTCTAGTTTTTCATGGTCCAGGTGTAGTTTCTGTGGTCCAGGTCTAGTTTTCCTTGGTCCAGGTGTAGTTTCTGTGGTCCAGGTCTAGTTTTTCATGGTCCAGGTCTAGTTTTTCATGGTCCAGGTCTAGTTTTTCATGGTCCAGGTCTAGTTTCTGTGTTCTAGGTCTCGTTTTTCATGGTCCAGGTCTAGTTTTTCATGGTCCAGGTCTAGTTTTTCATGGTCCAGGTCTAGTTTCTGTGGTCCAGGTCTAGTTTCTGTGGTCCAGGTCTAGTTTTTCATGGTCCAGGTCTAGTTTTTCATGGTCCAGGTGTAGTTTCTGTGTTCTAGGTCTAGTTTTTCATGGTCCAGGTCTAGTTTTTCATGGTCCAGGTCTAGTTTTTCATGGTCCAGGTCTAGTTTCTGTGGTCCAGGTCTAGTTTTTCATGGTCCAGGTCTAGTTTTTCATGGTCCAGGTCTAGTTTCTGTTGTAGAAGCTGTAGGAACCACAGGTGATCGTGGTCTCCTCATGATGACCTTAGTGATCCAACAGCAGCTTTATTTCTTTATTCTTCTACAGTTCAGTCATCAAAACTTCATCAAAACATTTTCTCAGCTTAAAATATTACAAAATAAAAGCCCAAACTTCCTGTGGAGCTTCAGAGATAAAAGTTGTTTCAGGGTTAGTTCTTCAGTCAGGTGTGAAGAGTCTTCTGTCCCGMCTGAAGGTGGCGCTGTTGTCTCACTGTTGATCCCTGAACATGAAACAGCTTATTTCTGTAATGAAACCTAATTCACCGAGGTTTATTTTACTAATGTTGTCCTGAGGTGACATCAAAGATCKGAGAGGGAACACAGGAGGATGAAGGTCAGGGTTAATAAAACCTCCATTAGACAATTAAAGGCAGTTTTGTTACAGAAACACTCGACATGAAAGAAGAAAATCAACAGATTTAGTTTGCTGCTTTCATCCTGTAAAAAGCAGAAAATTACTCTAAAATAACCGAACTTCAGGCAGCAGGAGGATAATCTTCCTCCTCAGATGTGTGATGATCCTCCTGCACCTCAGACCAACAACCTGCAGATCTTCTCCTCAATCCTAAAAGCTGCTCTGAGCTCAGGGACCCGTCCACAGCTGCAGCCTCTCGCACACATTTCCTCCACGGAGGAAACAAAGCTGCTGATGCGGAACGAGGGAGGAGGAAACGTGACACCTCCTTCTGACACTCAACAGTTGTTCTGAGCCGCGAGAAAACTCCAGAACATCGTTAACGTTAGCTTCATTAATGAGCATCTGCTGCGAGTCTGCAGGGCGCCAAACATTACTCTGCAGAAACAGGTGGGCTGACTCATGACTCGGCAAAAATAATTAAACATTTCTATGGAGATAAATTAGAGCTTTAAAGTTTGAAAGAAAAAATTTGAAACTGAAAATTTCAAAACTTAAAAAAAAAAAAAAGCCAGAACCAGACGAGGAAAAATAAACTAGAATCAGTTCTTTTAACTTTTTTTGATTTTATTAATCCAATTTTATTTGGCCCCATAATGTTTAAAAAATTTAAACCGCTAAAAATAAAAACGCTAAGATGACTGTCAGACTGGTGGGCACAAACCTGTTAGTTTTCTATTGGTTTAATTTGAAGGTGGGCGGGATCATCTGTGGCAGTTGGCCAATCAGAAGGTATAACTCAAACGTCGACCCTTTCAGAATAAAAGCATTTCTAGATGGTTTGTGTTTTTATAAATACAATTTAAAGTTAGTCAAACACTTTATCTACCATACATACTCATGTATTTGTTATATTGTTAAATGTTATTTTAGTTCTTTTTGAAGTTCCGTTTGAAGTTTAGCTGCTAAAGATGCTACCTGCTAACAGTGACTGACGTCCAGCACTGTTTGTAAGAGTTTTTTTTTTATTGACGAATGGCGTAAAAATTGTTTTATGGTTTATGTTTTGTGGTGTTTATTTTATTTTTCATTTTGTAGTTTAACAAAATTTTGCTTAAAAAAATTCTAATCCGCTAAATGAGAAGCTAGTTCTGCCATTAGTGGATTAGCAGAACTGTGAGTGAGGCGAAGTGTTCGTTTATTTAAAGTTTTTATTTAGTATTTCATGTTGGCGTTAACTGGTGTTGTGTAGAAACACTGTGTCAGATCACCTGCACAGGTAAAGACGGAACAAACAGAAATCAGTTTTAGAGATTTCTACTAAATATTTTTAATATTTGTCTCCGTACAGCAGAGTCAAAGCAGTTAATCAGAAACAAATGTCATTTAATAACAAACAAATTAACATTTGTGACGTAAAATTTAAATTAATACTGACTGCAGGACTCCTGAAGCACCTTTCATAGATTATTTTTAAACTTTACAGCATAAAATTAATAATCTCGTAATTTTCTTTTCTGCAAGGTTTAAATAATAAAGTTGTAAAATTCGTGTCACTTCAGGAGTTCCGTACGTTCTTCGATGATTTGACTGATACAATCAAAAAAACTTGTTCCTAAATCTCGTGATGAGACCATAAAGCCCCGGAGGAGGCGGAGTTCCCAGGTGTCCGGATCACAACACCTGGCTGGGTTGCTTCAGCTGTGGTTCCTTAAAAAGACGAGTCTCTGAGGCTGAAACTTCTCCCGACACAGAGGACACTCGGCCTGSACACACAAAGACACCTGACTCAGGTACAGCCAGGCAGACTGGACCAGACGGAGACCTGCTGCTGGACTCTGACCTTGGTGTTGCACCACTCGGTGATGCACTCCCAGCAGAACAGGTGTCCACAGGGCGTGCAGGTGGAGTTCCTCCTGGGCTCCAGACACAGGATGCAGCGGGGGGCGGAGCTCACCGAGTGCTGAGGACTGAAAACACCTGGATCAGTGAGACGAGATCTGAGGTCTGATGAAGACGGACCGGGCTGGTCCTGTACCTGAGCTTCCTGTAGACCCTCCACTCCTGCCGGGCTCTCTGTCTCTGCCTGAAGCTGTGGACCTGCAGGACCACAGAGACCAGCAGCTGGAGGACCGAGAAGACGCCCAGCAGCAGGTAGCTGCGCCGGATCGACGAGTCATCAACGCCACTCGGTCCCATCACACGCAGCTGGACACAAAGACAGGATGGATCAGAGACGACTAGAGACGGGACGGATCAGAGACGACTAGAGACCTGACGGGTCAGAGACGACTAGAGACAGGACGGGTCAGAGACGACTGATCAGAGACGACTAGAGACGGGACGGATCAGAGACGACTAGAGACGNAGACAGATCAGAGACGACTAGAGACGTGACGGATCAGAGACGACTAGAGACGTGACGGATCAGAGACGAGTAGAGACAGGACGGGTCAGAGACAACTAGAGACAGATCAGAGACGACTAGAGACGAGACAGATCAGAGACGACTAGAGACGAGACGGATCATAGAGACGACTAGAGACGTGATGGATCATAGAGACGACTAGAGACGTGATGGATCAGAGACGACTAGAGACGAGACAGATCAGAGACGACTAGAGACCTGACGGATCATAGAGACGACTAGAGACAGGATGGATCAGAGACGACTAGAGACAGGACGGATCATAGAGACGAGTAGAGACAGGACGGATCAGAGAGACGACTAGAGACAGGACGGATCAGAGACGACTAGAGACAGGACGGATCAGAGACGACTAGAGACAGGACGGATCAGAGACGACTACAGACCTGACGGATCAGAGACGACTAGAGACGTGACGGATCAGAGACGACTACAGACCTGACGGATCAGAGACGACTAGAGACCTGACGGATCAGAGACGACTAGAGACCTGACGGATCAGAGACGACTAGAG